GTGGATAGTGGGAAGGCCCACCCTGGCAGCCTACAATAGTCCTGTAGCCTGGATGGGATAAAAGGGAAAAGAAGGCTCAGTGACTGTTGCTTCCTGTTCATCTGCCATGGACCATTTCTCCTCTGCCAGGCCTCTCTGCCATGTTGCTCTGCCTTGGAGCCAGCCGACTGTAGACTGAAACCTCTACAAGCTGAGCTAAAATACCTGACACGCCCTTTAATTTGACAGTGCCAAGTATCTTGTCCCAGCAACCAGAAAGTAACTAAGACACTTCCTAAGATGCTACCTCAACAAAAGAACAATTCCTACTTTAGGGAACCCACATGGTTAAATCCACATTAGAAGCTTTAAAGAACATGGATAAGGCAACTGAAAAGAATTTTTTAAAAGAGTATCTTTTTAATCTGAAGCATGAAGTCAACAAGGAGGGGGGAAAAAACCTCCAGGGGGAAAGTGCATTCTTTAAAATATACAATGAGCTAAGAAAAACCCACTGCGTCTCTTCCCCTGTTGTCCTTGCTAGTCATGCCCTAGTCACGTGCCGTGAAACAGCAACCATACTTCTTTTTTCACTTGCTAGACATTTTACTCCTCAAAGGACCAATGAATGTTAACAATTATATAAATAATACAGCAATCTATCACATTTTGACTTTTTATCAGAATAATTTTTTGCAATTACAATCATTGTGCATATAGAAATTTTTTACTTTGGTATATGCTTTCCATCTCTTTAATTACTGCATAATGACCCCTCATTATCACATAATTACCTATTAGACATGTAAACTATTTCTATTTTAAAATTATTAGACTTGGTGTAAATATATTTACATAGATAGCTTTGTATGATGTATTTAGAAGTGAGATTGTTAATTTAAGGATATAAGCAGTTTATAGTACTTTTTCTGTCTACTATTTATACTTCCAATTTTTACCTGTCAGTTAAGGTTAACGGATATCTCTTGGCACAGCATAAAAATTTTTTTATTGCTTTATTAAGTAATGTGCCAAGGGCCAGGGATTTAGCTCAGTGGTGCTGCCACCTGCCTCCCCAAGTGCAAGGTCCCAAGTTCGATCCCTGGTACAAAAAAAAAAAAACAAAAAAAAACAAAAAACACTAATGTGCCACATTGTGTTTAGTTGTCCATAAGCCAGCTTTTCATCCTAAAATGAATTCAGAAATGTCACAATGAATAAGTCTCTGGGGATAGCATTACTCTCGTTTCCTTCCAATGAGCTTGGCCCCTCGCTTAACTGGTATTAGGACTGAGCCCATGTCCTTCACAAAGAGGCAGGGTCTTCCTCTGTAGTTCAGGCTGGCTTTGAACTCACTATGCAGCCCAGGAGGGCCTCAAACTCAAGGTGATCCTTTTCCGCAGCCTCCTGAGGGCTGGGAATTACAGGCGTGCACTACCACACCTGGCTCACATCTCCTCTTGCTCTACTTGTATAACACGGAAATTGGAAGCTCCTTACAGTTCTATTTTTCCCTTCTAAATCCTTCGTTCCAGCAGGTTTTTAGGGGGAGGAAAAACTCTTATCTTTTTCTCTTTTATCACATTAGTTATGCCAAGACAGTATCAATATTACTAATCTTTTAAAATATCAAATCTTGATTTGTGGTTTGTAAGATTTTCTCATTTGAGTTTATCTTATGACAATTTTTAGTTTCTTTTTTACTTTATTGCTTTGCTCTTTTTCAGGCTAATTACAGTTGCCTATGTTTTATTTAAATAGAGAAATAAAGTTTCTTGAAATTCTGATATATTGTACAGATGGTATTTACATTATTAATAGTCTTTTATGGTATATTACCTATTTTAAGATATTCCAGGGCCAGGGATTTAGCTCAGTGGTTTCACCACCTGCCTTGCAAGCTCAAGGTTCAGAGTTTGACCCCCGGTACCAAAAAAAACCAAACAAACAAAAAAACAAAAAACCACCAAAAAACAAAAAACAAAAATATTCCATGCATTTTCCCTAATTCGATTGCTATTTAAGGCTTTTATTTTACCATTAATTCTATTTTTAAGTGATTAAATAGGTAAGACATGCACATGCTAAGAAATCCAAACCATACAAGGGAGAAATGCTTCCCTCTCTTGCTACTCCTGCCCCTCCATATCTCCTCTGGAGAAGGAACAATTATTACCAGTTTCCTGAGTAACATTTCAGGGAAATTTCATTTATGTGTATGTCTGTGTGAAAGACAGGTGCAATTTTTTTCTTTCACACAAATGAGAACATATACAAACTGTTCTGTGCCCTACAGATAAACTTGTGTCAGAGAATTTATCACCATTTTAGTACTTTTAAGTTACTGTGAATTTATTTCTAGTTTAATTTTATTAAGATCTATGTAGGTGATTTTATGAAATTTGTACCATTTTGTAATTACCAGAATGTACACTGTGATTAGTATACGATCAATTTTTATGAAGCACACAAGTTTTTTAAAAAGTACTTTTTTCGGTTTGATTTTCATGATTTTTATGTTTGATTTTTCCCAAATCTGTTAATTTTACTAGTTATACTAGTTATACAATTGTAAAGTACCATGCAACTTTTCTTGGTATGCTTGTTGTTTTGATAGAAATGTTTTCTACCAAAATAATGTTCCTCTCCATTTCTACTTTCTATGTTTATTTTGTGAAGTTATTTAAGGGGAGATCCAGTAGGACTTTGTCATGCTCTACCGTGTTTTCACCATTGCCCTCATCAATCCCTCAAAACACTGTAGCTTAAAAACCTACTTTCTTTTTGGGTAAACTTGAAATTTTAGCTTTTTTACACATATGTAGTGGGAAGTATGTACTTTGTATTATATAACCCACAAAGTATTCTTTTCAGTTTATTTAAATCATTCATTTTGAGTAAATTAGACTTCATTTCATCTAAGGGCTCCCATTTAGAAAATGATGAGTGTCTAGTGCAATCACGGTCCCAACAACAATTACTTAAGGAGTCCTTTCACCTTGCAGAGGAGCATCTTGTGGCTCTGAGGCCGCTTCCCTCTGACTCAGGTTTCTGAAACTTGGGGCCCACGTGCCATTCCAGGCACCGCTACTCTGCAGCGGCGGTGGTTCAGGATGGAATGGACTTTGCAAATCATAGCAGCTGAGCCAGGCTGCTGGTAGTGTCTGGAATGTCGTTCTGCTTGCCTCTGGGTCCTTGGGGAACTGGCCCCGAATCCACAGTGGAAACGCTCCACAGGCCTGCTCCTCCAGCACACACACCGTTTATAAAACCACCATGACATCATGAGTTCAGCAAATTTGTCACATTTATGTAAGCATGTAACATGAAAAAATAGTCACATATAGGTGTATATACCTAAAATGGCTTAGCCTTACCAAAAAAATCTTGAAAAGGTTTACTACTTGTAAATGGAGTTTATGAAGTCCCTTAGTCCCTTTCCATATAACTTAAGATCCACAGCTTTTTGATACAGCAACAGAACATCACTGACTCATAATTAAACACTAACTCTACAAGAACAGACAGGCAGCTGGTTTCTGACGTTACCACTAAAATTCACAAAACCAATCTCTCAATTCTCCCAAATAACAGTCTTCAATGTTATTCAGAGTTTCTGGAGGTTTATGGAACAGTCATATCCAGCTTTTACGTGAAATGTGACTGCTGTTTCGTTACAATGAATACAATATATCCCTGGCTAGTGACCGCAGGGTTTTGAGCTTGTGTATCTCCAAAGAAAAAGAAGTGAGTAAGGCTAAGGTTAGCAGAAGACTCAGGGCACTGAACCAGAGCCCAGAAACACAAGCTTCTAAGAAAGCCTTTCACTAGTCACCCAGCGGGGTTTCCTACTCCTACCTCTTCCATCAGCCCGGCTTCAGTGGACCCATCGCTGCAGGCATTTCTGACATCTACCCAGCTGAGAAGAGCTGGTTCCAAATCAAAATAAATTTCATAATTCATTCGGATAATTGGCGCCTGGCTGGACTCATGCAAATTTCAAGGCCTTTCATGTACTAATTACAGTCTGGCAATGGGACTTTCAGTTCACATCTAGGAAATACCAAGAAATACAAGCAAGTTTACAGGGCCAATATTCTTGGACTGAAATAGACTCAGGAACCAGGGATTTAGGTCAGTGGTTCTGGCACCTGCCTCGCAAAGCTCAAGTTCCCAAGTTTGATCCCTGGTACCAAAAAAAAAAAAGAAAAAAAAGAAATAGACTCAGTTGTCCTGAAGAGGATGCTTTGTCTATAGAGAGGCACAGGAAATTCACAAAACTAGGCTTTCATTCACCGTGGTGCCCACCTTGGCCTCCTTGCAAAGGGGTGCACCCCCGAAGTACATGTGCGACATAACACGGCCCCCTACTGAACCCCAGTATGGAATCCCTTCAGCGGGTCCAGAATGGGTGGCCTTTCCAAGTGCTGCATTATGTAACAGTTCCCATCACACAGAATCTGGTCACAAGGGGTAAAATTAATAAATGCACTGTTTGATGATGTTAATGGCAGAGACACCGAGACATTTCTTGGTCAAGTCCTATGGAGGGAGTGGAAAGAGAAAAGGTGACGCAGAGAGGACCAAGGAACCCATGATAATAAATTTCAAAACCCACCAAGACTGGGACAGGGACAGGGACAGGGATTTAGCTCAGTGGTGCCGCCGCCTGCCTTGCAAGCGCAAGGTCCCGAGTTCGATCCCCAGTACCAAAAAGACATACACACACACACACACACACACACCACCACCACCACCAACCTCATTCACCACGCTTCGTCTGACCCAGTGCCTCAGCAATCACGCTCAGCCTTTCAGCACTGGGAAATAAAGTGGCTAAAGCCACTGCTTTATATCGGAGTCACTTCATACACACAAAGACAAAGCTATGAAATTCTCTCCCAGCACAAAAAGTTAAGGACGAATAACCCTTGTGAGCCACTCGCCTACCAGCCCCGCTGGGTGACCACCACAAGGTGGGGACCCGGGGACGCAAACTGCTGTGGAGTGATCCCTCTGACCTGCAGAATGAGGACGAAGTAGTCTACGGGCTTGTTTCGCTGGTAGAGGTAGTACTCTGGGGCTTTCTTGTTCTTCTCGTCATACTTCAGCTCCTGGATGACATTGGGGTGCTTTAGCAGTCTTAGAAGGATCTTCTCTGACATCTGGGACGGGCTAAATGCTTCTACTTCTATGGACATAAACACAACTTGACATTACACTCGGGGGAAGGAAAGGTGAGGCTAGTCAGGGGGGCGCTCTGACAGGGAGGGCATCAAAGTGACCAACACGGAGGAACGAGACTTCCGCGTGTGCTCCACCGCGGACAATGACCTGGGAGAAACCAGAAAATGCTAAGGTCTCATCTTTGCTCCTTTTTTCTCTTGCCTTTAACCCGTCGCGGGATTCACCTTCAGAAAAGCATCCCACATGGCTGGCTGACAGATGGGAATGAGACCAGCCAGCGGCAGCTCTGAGCACCAGCAGGGCCTCCCACAGCACAAGAGTCTGCTGCCCAACAGCCAGAGGACGCCAGGGCCAGGCGCAGTGCGGTTAGTACGGCCATCTCCCCACAGCCGGCCTGAGAAATTCTGGGGACCACCCAGGGAGGGGTTCAGAACAAAAGCAAGGCCGTGCATACATCCACATGCGCTCCAACCACCAACAAAGAGTACTGTTGGTCAGCATTTACAAAGGTAGAAACTTTAGTACAAATAACAAAAATCACAATTACTGATTTCAAGGTGCTCTTTTCAAACTAGAATTTCTGATTTCTCAGAGGCAGACTAGAGTAACATTCAGTGTTTTATTGTTTTGGTTTGGTTTTCTTTTCAGACAGGGTCTCATTATGTAGTCCAGGCTGACCAGCACTCACTGTAGTGTAGCCTGGCCTTGAACTCCCAATCTTCCTGTCTCAGCCTCCCGAGTACTGGGATTACAGGCCTGTGCCACTACACCTAGCAACTGTAAGGTTCTTAAATGTTGAGGAACCAGAATACCAGAATTTTAAAAAGAATATTAAGCAAGTTAAAGATCTCATTTTTTAATTAGTTGCTCTCTGTGAATGGTATACATTTAGAATTCACTTATGTGACTTTTTTCAGTAATGATAGTGCATTGCAGAAAATTAGGAAAATAGGAAAAAGATAAAGAAGAACATAAAAATTACCTATAAGCCAACCAGTTAGCTAACTGTCCAGAGCAATTTGGTATTTCTTTCTAGTGCTTTGCCTGGGCATGTGTGCCTGTGTAGGTGTGCACAGAGAGACACAATCACAATCCTGACCCACACAGAATTCTCTACGGTGTCTCCCCACTGCACACTGTGTCGTGGGCATCTTCCCACGTCACTCCCACGATCTGACAGCGCAGGTGGCATTCCGTCATGTGGCTGCTGGGGGCCTCCTTTTCAAATATTCTGGGTGTACTGCATGCAGCGGAAAGGTACTGGCTGCACATCTTGGAAACAGATGTCTTCTACAAGGCCCTGGGCACCTTCAGCCCTTCTCACTCCGCCAGGCCAGCAGAGCGGGCCTTCCCAAGAAGGCTGGGGGTGGGGGCGGTCAGGCTCCCAGTCCCTCCCATGGGCAGGCGGTGCCGTCTGGGGTGTGTTAGTGACGTGTACCGGCCTTCCACAGTGGGCCTAAGTTAGCAATCTGATTTGATTTTTTGCTTGTTTGTTTTTGTTTTTTGAGACAGGGTCTCACTATGTAGTTGAGACTGACCTGGGACTCACTATGTAGCTCAGGCTGGTGTCGAACTCACTCACAGTGATCCTCCTGCCTCAGCCTCCCGAGTGCTGGGATTACAGGCGAGCGCCACCACACCTGGCTAGCAATCTGATTTGGAGAGGCCACCAGAAATCCACGTCAAAGTCCTCAGAGTCTTTAATTTCATCAAAAGACATACACGACACAGATTTAATCCTGAAAAATCTATTTTTCTTCTTTGCAAAGTAGAGCACCTGCGTTACCACGGATGTCCAACTGCTCTTCCGGGCAAGCTGCAGAGAGAAGCTCTCAACTGTCCAATCAATCAGGGGAGTCTGGTCTGCACTGCCAGCCTATTCGCCACGGCCGCCCGTGGGCTCAGCTGGAAGGAGAGGACCTGGCCTATGTATACATGCAGTGTGGCTCTGACATTCATCCTTACCTTTCAGACCAATTTTAAGTTACTGGTCCACCCCTGGCAAATGTCTCAGAGGGTTCATGCCGACACTGAACACAGGAAAGGAGAGAATTTAAAGAGAAAAAAACAAAACAAAACAAAAAAACAAAAAACAAAACACAAAAGTGGCATTACTTATCACCCCATTTCCCAACCTCCACCCCCAGCCCGCAGTGGCAGTGGCGCTGATTACAGACTGAGATAAGAGCACTTGCCTGTTGCTAGGAAACGGTGCATGGCCAGGAGAAGCTGCGGGGAGATTTTAACCTTCATCTCGCTGTCTGTTTGCTTAAAGGCAGAAAAATCTTGCTTTCTTTCTCGGTGGGCCACTTTCTTTTTTGTTCTGTTATCGGCTGAGAGAGGAATAAGAGAGAAAAAAAATAAGGAAACAGTTGTTAGGTCAGGGCTCTCGTTGGATGAAAGAGATGAAAGAGAAAAGGTGAGGCTCTCCCCAGGCAGGGAGAGGTCTCACCAAATCAGCACGGTCACAGCAGCCGTGAGAACCTGACAGGTCCGGGTAGGTGCTGGGACACCGTACGTAGCTCACGGGCAGATGCAGTCCAAGCCTGCAGGCAGCAGACTGTGGCCGGAGGCAGCCCATCTCCTGAGGCCCAGGGAAGAACTGCTAAAGGCGAGCACAGGAGGGCGCCTTCCCTGTGTTTAAGAGCCCCCAACAAAGTAAACACACTCACCCCAGGAAACAAACAAGAACGCAGCACAGAACACTACAGCATCTCGCCCTTTGTTACCACCCAGGCCATGAGAGTGTCAAGGTCAAGCAAACCCAGGGAAGGCATTGGAACAAGGCCAGCAAACCACGGATGTCCACAAAGGCCCCTGGGGCCACATTCCAGGCTCTGTCGTAGGCAGTCTGTGACCACAAACCCATGCTGCTATTCAACAGTGCTCCAAAAAATCTCTATTACTTGTCACAAATTATTCTTTAGACTTTTTTCAATCATCAAAAAGTATGAAAAACCATTCTTAGTGTGCATGTCATTCAAAAACAGGCAGCAGGTACTCACAGGCTGTGGTTTGCCAAGTCCTAATATAGAAGTTATCTCATACAAAACCATTTTTCAAGTATTTTTCTGAACAAAGTAATGATCAGAAAAAACTGGCTGAAAAGCCAGACTCCAATTGCTTGCTTCATCCACAAACAAGAACCATGAGTCACTGCAGTATTACTTCCTGCTCAGGGAGAAACAGATTGATCACAAGGCTTTTCCTGGAGAGAAGGCAATCGTATTTTATACTTTTCGTTTATCTCAAGTTCTTTTGAGAACCAGACAGTGTAAGTGAATACAAAGCTTTACAATAATTTTCTAATGGTGATGTGCACCACCAATCCTGATCCCTCTAGATCAAGAATACAACCTGGACAGGGCAGCCATGCCCATCATCCCATCACTCCAGAAGGCTGAGGCAGGAGGGTCACAAGCTGAAGCCCAGCCTGAGAGAGACCCTACTGCAAAAGAAAAAATAAAAAAGGGCTGAGAATGTTGACTGATTTCAACCAACCAATTAATTTAAATAAATAGGCTAGACCTGAAATCACAAGTGCAGCACTTTACCACCAGCAAGGTGCTCTAGCAGGAACTTTTATCGGAAACCAGTCCAATCAAGGTTTAAAAGAAGTTCAACTAATATTTCTGCAAAACCAAAGAACATAAGATCTCATAAATGTTTACAATGTCTTTCTCACATAAATCTATGGAGACACACAGGGTGTTAGATGGCTTGTGAGGCAGGATGAAAAGAATGTAAACACACTAACAGCAACGTTCTCTATCCTGAGGCCTCTCCTACCCTGCGAGTGTCAAAAGGGTAGAGCAGACTTGGAAAGGGTTTTCAAGAATTCTATACAGATGTGAAGGAAAAAAACACATTTTTAGAGGATAATCATCAGCTGGATATAAAAAAATTCTTCAAGGTGCATGGATGACTTGACTTGCAAAATGAGGTACTCCCTTCCCTTCCGGAGACTGACAGATATCACTCCACAAGGCAAGACCACTGCTGGGTCCACAGCCCATGAGCAAGGCCGCTTTCAGCCTAATGCTCTTTCTCCACTCGCCAGCCCCTGCTGCCCCACCGTGGGCCCTCTGCATCACGAAGCCCTCGGAGGAACTCCCTGGATGGTAGAGACTGAAGCCTTGCTTGGGTGAAACACTACGCAGTCCCGCATCTGGCGGGTCAGGGACCAATCCACACCTGGCCATGATTGCCTCCTCTGCTCCCCAAAGGCGGCAGGAAGCCGAGGACAGCACGATTCCTGCACATACCCTGTTGGGCCCACCTCCGTCCCGCCAGCGCCTCAGCTCCACCTCTGACCCAGGGTTTGAAGCAAGAAATGTCGTCAGCTGCCAGCCAGCAATCTGGCACACCCATTCACTGTTTAGGTATGTGAATTATAAACTTAAGGAAAACAATTTATCTGAAAATAACTTGCTTGCATGTATCAAAAGAAATTTAGTAAACATCACTCAGTGAAAATACGTGTGAAATTCAAGAAAACTTTCTCCAACAAGGAAGGTACAGATTAACGGTCAGGAAAGGCAGGCTTTTCAAAAGAACACCGCCTCAGAATCTCCTTCCCTGCCCCTCCAAAGGGCCTGGAAGCCCCGGGAGGTACAGCAGCCTCTACATGTTGAGAGTAATTACAACAGCAGACAGCACTGGAGAAGAAATGTCAGGGACTCGGCACAACAGAAAAGGTAAGGTTTGGGGAAATTACACTCAGACAATGCTACTCACTGTATAAGTCTGTTTCATCTAGAATCTCAGATTTGATGATTTCTTCAATCACATCTTCTAAGGTGACAATTCCAAGAACTTCATAAAATGGATCTCCTTCTCCCTCATTGTTTACCCGCTGTACAATAGCCAGGTGAGATTTACCTGGAAAGAAAACCAAGTTTAGGAGGCAATTTTCTGGATTCATCAACTATCATCTTATACACAATTACTGTAAAAATAGCAAACCTTATGCAGCAAAATTCTGATATCACTGCATTGGAGCATTTTAAAAAGTGTGGAAACACCACCACCAAATGGAGAAGCTTCCTGAGCCATGAAAGGTATGACAACAGGGCCAGCAGAGTGCCGTCTTCTGTACACAATGCCCTGCACCCAGGTCTCTACTTCCTCAGGGAAGCGGTGCTCAGCTCCACAGTCTTCCTCTGTGAGGTCTTCAAGAGCAGAGTACTTCTCTCAGGATGTTCCCAGGGCCTCCAGGGACCCTCAGGGCTCTAAGGTAGTGAGGCCGCACTAACTGGCCTTCTCCACCGTGTTGTTATGTGAACTGATGACATAAGGGCACCTGACCTGGCCCCCAACAAATGGGACACATGGTCACTACTCACAGCAAGGGGGCAGAGTCGGGGTCCTGACATGCCAGCTGCCTTGAGGGCCGGGTGCCTGTGTGGCGGCCTGAGCTGGGAGGGGGACCAGCTGGGCATGCAGGCTGAGCTCCACCACTGAGCTATACCCTAGGCCCACACAGAACGTCACTTTTGCTTGAAAGAATGACTACCAGATAAACTATGGTTTTATAGAGTACTGGTGGATATTTCTGTGAAATAAGCAAAACAAGCCTGTCACATCAAGGAAAAATACAGGCAGTGCCTGCTACCAATGATAAAAACTGAGCTTTCAATGGAAAATGAGAATTTTTGGAAATTCATACCCACCAGATGAGTGACAGCTTCTCAACAATTAAGGACCCTTTTTTTGACGGTGAGAGTAATGAAATTAACAATGCAACTTTTAAGTAATGAGTAATCTACTGTGTCAGTGTTTTGAACATTAGCGTAATTTACTGAACCATGCATGGGTAAAGGATCCACTGAGTACCACACAAAACAATGTATTTTTAATTTCTTAACATAAAAATTATTTTATTATTTCCCATTCCCCCATCCCCCTTCTGGGTTTTGTAGCCAGCCATGGGGTGGGGGTGGGGGGTGCTCGGAACAGCACTGATGACTCTCACCTTCCCCCCTTTGATAAAGGTGTTCACCGCCCTTTATCAAAAATAAGTGGGAAGTCACTCATTTTCCCTTGCCCTAGTTCTATTTGTGGAAGCAAATCACTAAGCCTGTCATACCCCCAAGGGGGTAGGGGATTAAGATCTACTTTCTAGAGAGGGGTACGTGTGCATCTACATGTATTACGCAGAATTCAGTGAAGATGATTTTAGGGCAAAGGATTTTAGGGTTATTGACTTTTGTTTTGTTTTGTTTTTAGACAGGGTCTCCCCCTATGTAGTCCAGTCTGGTCTCGAACTCAGGGATCCTGCTGCCTCGGCCTCCCAAGTGCTGGGATCACAGGCGTGCCCACCACGCCCAGCTAGACCAAAGGATTTTAACGAGACAGAATACCTAAAGTCTCTTGGCATGATTTCAGATTCTACATGCAGTTAACCTTTAAGAAACTACTACTTGCTGGGCGCAGTGGTGCATGCCTGTATTGAAGCACTCAGGAGGCTGACGAGAGCTGCCCAAGTTCGAGGCCAGCCTGGGCTACACAGTGAGACCCTGTCTCAAAACACCAAGGGACAGAAAAAGAAACTACCACTTAGGGAATTCTGGTGTAGCATCAAAGAAGACTATCCAGGATGGTCTGGAAACGCTATTAAAATGCCTCTGCCTTTTCTAAACACCAATCTATGTGAGGACAGACTTTCTTTGTGTACTGCCACCAGGCACAAAATTGCACAGGCAGAAGCCAGGAGTGGTGGCGCACGCCTGTAATCCCAGCACTCAGGAGGCTGAGGCAGGAGGATCGCTGTGAGTTTGAGACCAGCCTGGTCTACATAGTGAGTTCCAGGTCAATCTCAACTACATAGTGAGACCCTGTCTCAAAACCACCCCCGCAAAAAAATTGCACAAGCAGAAAGCAGAAGGATGCAACTCCAGCAGCCTCCTATCTAGCTAGTTAGAGATGCAACAAAGATAAACTACTGCTCCTACTATTTTATTTAGAAACATCGTTATTTTTAATAAAAAATTTTAGAGCAATAGCCTAGCAGGTGTGAGGTCCTGGGTTTGCTCTCTAGCACTGCAAAAGAAAAACTAAATACATAAAAGACAAAATGAGTAAATATACTCTAAAGTTCACTTTTAACTCGAGGTATATATCAAAAGCTAGAATCCATACAGACAAAAGTCCGAGGGTCCTCACTAACTTTTAAGTGTTTAAAGGACCCTAAGGGCAGAAAGCTTAAGAAGGACTGCAGTGGGCAAAGGAGCCCCTGACTCCCACGTCCAGGGCCCTTGCAGTAAGCACCTGTGGCTGCTCCTGAGCTGTGGCCTCGCGCATACAGCAGCTGGTGTGACCAGCGATCACACAGGGCCCAGCAGTCCACGGGGGACCTTAGGTTTTATCAACGTTTCTTCCCAATTGTGAGGTGCCATCAACTTCTCACCAGCTCAGTTGGAGGGGACGAAACACCACAAAACACACAAGCACACAGTGATTAAAAGACGGATTTTAATTTTAGGGAGATCTCTTAAAATAATTCCTCAAGCACCAATACTGGTTTTCCCAAATCAAGGCACCTGAAACACATTCACAAATAAAGCCATAGTAGACATGATCTGGAAACTTCATGATGAGTTAAGCTTTTTATTTTCTTTTGACAACGCAGCCAGACAAACCAGGTCTGGCAGGTTCCCAGGACCACCAGCCCCTTCTCCACTTCTGTGCAGTTTCCACTCTGCCTCAGACCCCTGTGCAGCAGCAAGGTCTGCAGGCCCGGAAATTCATCTTATTAGGCCGTGAGGCATCCTAGCAATTCTCACCGAGGTCTGCTCACAACCAAGGAATGAAGATACTTTGGGCAAAGGCGACTAAGTGGCATGAACTTCTCGGCCACAGACAGAAACCCACACCTGGCCAGGCCAACTCTCAGCTAGGTAGTGGCCCCTGGCTCCTCACATCTGCTGCCTTCCCAGAGACCCAGCACAAGCAGTTGAAAATTCTTGGTGAATGCTGTCTGCTGAAAGTTAAATTCTTTTGCTATTCCCAGCTTGTGATCATTTAAAAAGAATTTTCCAAAGCAAGGTCTAATATTAGACTCAAAATGAAGTTTCCATTCCACTGAGGCGCTATTCTCACCACAGTAACTACCGCGTAATCAGATTGTCTCGGAGCAACTCGTTTAAATGCAGATGGACATACTTGGAATACCAGCCACAGGGCACCCACAGATCTGGAAAGGCCTTACTTGGGGGGGGGATCATTCATGTAATTAGGCTTCTTAGGCTGGAAATGATTAAGTTTTCCTCCCACTGACACCCTCCCCTCCACCTCTGAAACCTCTCCGTCCTCCCAGGCCCTGTCTTGTTTGCTCTGAGGTAAGAAGCCCTGTTTCCTAAACCTGGCGCACAGCACACACAAACGACCCTGTGTCCTCTACCCAGGTTTTCGGACACAGCGGCTCTGCACACCTGCCCGCCACCCCCACAGCCACCACCTCGTCTTCTGGCCTCATCCAGGAGGCAACCGAAGCAAACGTGTGCACGGCTTTCCAAGGGAGCAGGCAGCAGTGCGAACGCAGCCTTTCCTAACCTGGGTACTGGACGGATTCGGTCAACATGGACGGGAGAAAGCAACTTGGGGAAAACAATAAAAGACTAGGATGACAAACACAAAAAAGAACATAAACTAATGGATTTTTAACTTCCAAAGAGAAGAGTGAAAATATAGCAGTGAGCCATAATCTAACTATAGGCAGCACGTACCACTAAGACTTAGATATATGCGGGTAGGTCAATGCAACGAGCCAATGAGTGACCAGTGTGAACAGGCCAGGGCCACTGGGGTGGGGCAGCTCCCCAGCTGAGCACACCCAGCTCGCAGCACTCCGCTTACTTTGAGCTCTCACAATCTGGCACTGGAAATGGAAGGAAAAGTATCACTAAGCCAGGGCTAAGGGAAGGGAGACCTGGCTTTCAGAGTGTAGGGCTGCATGAACACATCTCCACCTAAATTCAGGAGGACAAGTTACTAGGAAATAAAAACCTCAATTGTTTTGCATCTGTGCTGTGCTCAGGCAGGGCACAAGCACTGACAAAACTTCAAGAAGCCATCTTCACCACTGAGCTGCACAGAGGAAGTAAAACAGGCCATACCAAGCAGCCTGGGATTACGTCTTTGACCAAGCGCCCCACAAGTCAAAGTGGACCTGCAGCTTCCCTGGGAACTGGGACCCTCGGCCAGAGGGTCAGCGGGTGATCACACCTGCACCCTGCTAGGCTCAATTCTGAATGATGGAACATGTGCATCTGGTAATCAGAAAACACCAACAAGTAACGGACAGGATGGGGCTGGCACCGTCTGAGGGAACACACACGACAGATCCGTGCTGGCTAAAGGAGAAAGCCATGAGGGCAGATGACTCGGAGATGAAACAGCAACAGCCTGACCACAGCCATGTGGCCCAGGGCGAAGAGAGCGGGTAGAGCCTGAACCGTAGGGAGCAAACCAGCCGAAGCCCAGGTACAGCATCAAGGCGACCTCACAGCCAGCAGCCTGCTGCATCACAAATCTCCAGGGGCAATGTGTGCCCTCTTGGCACAGAGGGCAGGAGTTCCGAGGGCCCCAGAAGCTGTGTGACATCATGGCACCTCACTAACCAAGGACACAGCACACACAACATTTGACTTGTTTTCTGTGAGGCACAGTGCCTCACAGTGTATGCACCTGTAATCCCAAACTCGGGAGCCTTCGCAAGAGGATCACAGCAAGTTCAAGGCCAGCCTGGGTTTACATAGTGAGTTCAAGGCCAGTGTGAATGACATACTGAGACTCTGGCACACACCTGGAATCCCAGCACTCAGGAAGCTGAGGCAGAAGGATCGCCATGAGTTCAAGACCAGCCTGGGCTACACAGTGAG